GTAAATCTCATTTCTTTTCCCAATTTTTTCCTTTACCTCTCTTATTTGATTTTTAAAATCCTTTTTGAGCTCTGCCAGGAATTCTTTTTGGGCTTATACCCAATTCACATTTTTCTTTGAGGCTTTGCTTGTAGTTGCTTTGACATCATTGTCTTCTGGGTTTGTGTCTTAATCTTCACTGTCACCATAGTAATGTGTTATGGACTGGTTCTTTCTTGTTATTGTTTTTTTCACTCATTTTCCAGCCTATTTCTTGACTTTAAACTTTATGTTAAAGTTGGGCTCTGTTCCCAGGGTGAAGGTGGCACCATCCCAACCTTCAGGCCTTCAGGTCTTTTGTGCTGCTTTGTTTCAGAGCTAGCTTGCAGAGTCTGTATGTACTCTGGTCTTCACCCAGTAAGGGACTTTGTTCCCCTGAAGCCACTAGCACTAGCACTCCTTCTGGCCCTATGACTGTGACCATGTCTCCCTCTCTCCTGTAGGTATGACTGTGACCACATCTCCCTCTGTCCTGCAGTGCTCCCCTCTGTTTTGGAATTGAGTCCAGGGTTCCTACTCCCCTGTGAGCAACCACAAGCATTCCTCTCTCCTCAGGAACTGTGACCAGAGTCCCTTCTGTCCTGCAGTCATAAGTTATATCACTCTTTTTGGCCCTGGGACTTGATCTACAACTGCATATGAGCAATGCAACAGGGTCCTGAACCCAATGTCAGCAAAGATACCCCACAATTTCCTTCTGATCAGTTGTCCAACCCTTCCATCGACCACTCACTGAGAGCTCCCAAAGCTGCTGCACTGCACTCCAGGCCTGACCACCATCTTGGTCGGACATACCTTTCCTGCCAATCTCCTAAGTCATCTTGGGCTAGAAATTTTGTTCACCTGACCTTTTGTTAATTCTGCCACTCTAAAATTCAATTTGAGGTGTTATTTTAGCATTTTGGAAGGGTAATTTGGGGGACCTCAGCTCAGTGCTTCTTCACTCCACCATCTTGGCTCTCCTCCCCTGAACTCATTCCACAGTTTTTTTTTTTCTAATTTATTTAGGAGACTTTGAGTAGATCTTTACTTCTTTATATATATACACATGATTTGTCCATGTGTGTGTGTGTGTGTGTGTGTGTGTGTGTATGTACAGTAGCCCAAGATTTCTGCTCAGTCTCTTCCAAAGTGATCCTTAATAAAGATCAAGGGAACTCTTCCATGTTTGATTCAATCCACTGCATAAAAGATATAGAGCTAGAAGTGACCTTAGAGTTCCTCTAGTCCAATCTCATCATTTTACAGATGAGGTCCAAAGGTAGGAAATGACTCCTTCAATGTCACAGAAGTAGTAAATGGAAGAACCAGAACTTCCACTCAGGACCTCTAACTCTAATCTCAGTACTGCTTCCACTATATCTCACAGCCTCCCATTCAATTATTTCATTTCCTCCCTAGTACATATTTACTATGTACTAGGCACTAATAATACAAATACAAAAATGAAATAATCCCTTTACTCAAGGAACTCATTTTCTATTGAAGGAAAACAATATGCGCACAGATAAGTAAATATAAAATATATATGAAATAATTATTAATGTTTTCGTGTGATACATTAACAACTGGAGAAACTGGTAATCATTGGAGAAAGACTGAGAAAATAGTCCATATCAAAGGAAAATCTTCTCTAAGTATGACCAAGGCTTATTACTACTACTACTCCTCCTCCTACTATTCCTACTCCTACTCCTACTCCTACTCCTACTACTACTACTACTGTAACTACTAGCTAACATTTATATAGAACTTTAAGGTTTACAAAGTGACTCTCATATATTAACTCATTTGCTTGTCATAGCAACCCTCTAACGTGAAAAATTTAACAGTTTAACTGAAAATTCAACAATTGCTTCTCACAAGCCTGTTTGAATTGACTTCACACCCCTTTATCTTATCAAATGCTTCTTTAGTATAACTGCCTCCCTTCAAATACTTTCCTTCAACCCTAAGCTTAGTATGATACTTTGCTAACAGGGAAATCCAATATTGATGGTCACACATAAACCTATCAGGATTCTGGTTTCACTTTGGGTCTCCTATGCTAGAATAAACACACATTCCAGCAGCTTCCACCATGCTGGAAAGATGTTCAAAATCATCCCAGAAACAAAATGCTTGCTATGAAAGGACCTGCCCAGATTTCAGTTGCTTATTACTAACAGACAAGCCATTCTGTTTTAAAAATGGAGGCCATGACCACTCATGAAGCAGATTAAAAATACAAAATGACCTACATGGTTCCCTTCTAGTCCCTCAGTGTTATTGACAGGTAGGCAGGAAAAGAAACATAGGATACAAAGAATCATAAAGATTTTTGTAATTGATTAATTTATTTTTAGTTTTCAACATTCATTTTTAAAGATTTTGAATTCTAAATTTTCCCCCTTCCTCTTCTTCTCCTTCTCCAAGACAGCATGTAATCCAATACAAGCTATACATGTACAATCATATTAAGCTTTTGTGCTGCTTTAGTTCCATGATATTTGATTTCATTCTAGTTGCTTGAAATTTTTCCCACTGATCTGAGAACTCTGGAATTTGGCTATAATAGTCCTGTGAGTTTTCATTTTCAGATCTCTTTCAATAAGCAATCAATGGATTCTTCCAATTTCTGTTGTACTCTCTGATTCTAGGATATCACATTAGTCATATTGTAAAGAAGAATCAGAACCAAAGAGGAAAACCACGAGAAAGAAAAGAGAGAAAATAGTATGCCTCGATCTGCATTCAGACACTATAGTTATAAGAATCATAAAGATTTAAGCTCATCTACAAATTGAATTCAACTGTTGGTTCTTGATCCATGAGACCTTTGTCAAATTACCAAGGAGTTTATATGTAATTACAAATAATAACAAGTGCTTAAAAGTTAGGAAGCCTCTTTAACTATATTACCTCATTTGATCCTCTGTGAAGTGTACTACCCCCATTTTACAGATGAAGTAACTGAAACTAAGAAAGATTAATTGAATTTCCCAGAGTCATACAGCTAGTACATGTCTGAGAGAGGATTAAAACTCAGGTCTTCCTGACTCCAAGTCTAACCCTCCAACCACTGCACCACTTTAGCGTTAGTAGAAAAACTGTACTGTATCAATGTGGAAATTCTCAGTGAAAATAAAACCAGAAGGCAGATGGAAGTTGCAACTAAATCTTAGGATAACTCACAATTTCTTCTCCACAAGGTGAATAAAGGAATTGGTCCAGTTGGTTTTCATCATATACCTAAAATCAACAAGAAATAGCATTTCATGAGATACTTGGTCACCTCACTTCATAGTATTCATGAAAAGCATGAGCAAAAAGATCACAGTAAAGATAAATGTAGCTCAGGCTCCAACTTATGAATTACTTACTATGTGCAAAAGAACTGTTAACGGTGAATGAAATAGGTAAATTGTATTACCAGCTAGACAAGATCCATATTTAATCTATTTATCTACACACATACATATATATATATATATACATACATACATATGTGTGTATACACCATACAAACACATATATAAATGTGTTTATATATACAAACACATACTATATATATATATATACATACACATTTATATGTACATATATTTATATGTATATGTAAATACCATCCAAGGAGAAGATGGTTAATAAAAGGGGTTGGAAAATACAGTTTGAGACCAAAAAATGAAAGAAGTCAATGACTAGTATGCTATTCAGAGTCTTTATGCCAATACTTAATCATAAATACTTTCTTCAACATAATAGGGAAGGCTAGACACGGTGAATATTGAACAACAGCACACACAGATAAACATACACAATTGACTAATAAAATAGTGATTTACTAATGGCACAGTTATTTTCAAATCAGCAATGTACAGTGACTAGTTAGGGTAAAAGAAATAATAAACATCAAATTAGAAGAAATGATCGCTTTAATAATAAGATGCGTTCAATTACAATGCCTCAATCCAACTTATTTTAACAAGGCATGCTACAGTATGAAAAATGAGAAAATGATCAAAGTAAAGATACTAACTATGACTACCACCATTCTTAGAGACATTCCAAAATATGTAATAGTCACCACAGTGAGGAAAATTGGTTCAACTAAAAAATTCTTGACATTCTCACTAAGTAGAGACATATCAGCAAAGGGCAATTTTAGAATAAAAGCACATTTGAAAAACATCTCAGAGGAGAATAATGGAAGTAAATAAATAGTATTATCTCACAAAAGAGGGAAGAAAATTAGAGGAAAAAACAAGGCTATAGAAAGCTTGACATGCCAGACCATCACAGGGACATTTATAAATGAAATTGGAATGACAACAATTGGATGTGAAATAGAACAAGTTTTCTAGTATTTCTATAAAGATGTATTTTTATCATCAGTGACAATGAAAATAATGCATTTAGACTCAACATTTCAGTATCTGATATGCCATAATAAGAAAGAAGGTGATGTTTGGAAGAGTAACTGCATATCAAGAAATGCAATCAGAAGAAATCTATGCTGGATTGGGTGCTGTTTTAATGATATTCATAGATCAATTTTCAATATATCTCAAAAAAAGTAAGATTCCAAAAGAAAGGACAAGATCAATAACAAACTCATCATAAAATATCTACTGAGAAGTCATTGTTTAAGTACCAATACATCTATTTCAGGATCTTTAGAAACCATTCTAAGTATGTTCTATGTACAGGTTAAAAGTATGCTTGAAAAAATAGATGGGAACAGGCAGACTTCCATTAGTAATTTTCTACAGCATAGCACAGCTTTGTAATTGCTCCAAGGTATAGATATACCAATGTGTTTATTACTTTATTAGAAAAAATAATTTTTGATAGAAAAAATCAATAGTATAGACTCTTCCAAAAATGTGATCCCATGAATGCTTTAGGATCATATGAGCTTCTTCTGCAAAAATATATTTGTAATTAGAACCTACCTCACAAAATTGGCATTTTTTATCTAGGCCTGTGATTTCATCAGTGTAGGAAGTCCCTGATGAGGAAACTCCCTCCAGCAATGGAGACTTTCAACTGTTCTTCAAGATTATCAATTGCCTGGGCAACTAGAGGTTGTGACTTGCCGAAAATCACATAGTCAACATGGATCAGAGGTAAGATTAATTGTTGCTAGAAAGCTCAAGGTGATGAGGATCAAATAAGAAAAAGCCCATAAAGTCTTTATATGTGTTTTAGACATATCATCTATTATTGTCAAAATCAACAAGATTTGAAAGCTGCTTGTGTTTGGGGGTGTAAGTCAGGAAGAAGAAAGAGTCAAAGATGACTCTGTATTTGCATTCTTGGCTGTAACTGCGGCACTTAACACAGTGCCTGCAAAGAGTAGGAGCTTACAAGTGTTTATTGACTCTGTCTCTGATTGTGAGTTCTGTTTTGGATTTGGCAAGTTTGAGATGATAAAGGGACATCCAGTTGGCAGTATGTACTTTGTTCAGAAGATGGGCAGCCAGGTGGCACAGTGGATAGCATTCCAGGCCTAGAATCAGGAAGACCTGAGTTCAAATGTGGCCTCAGATTCTTATTAACTGTGTGACTCTGGGCAAGTCACTTAATCCCATTTGCCTCAGTTTTGTCTTCTGTAAAATGAGCTGGACAAGGAAATGGCAAACCATTCCAGTATCTTTGCCAAAAAAAAAAAAAAAAACAAAATAAAACAAAAGAAAACAAACAAAAATAGGCTCACAAAGAATCAGACACAACTGAAATGATTGAATAACAACTTTGTTCAGAAGAGAGATTTAAGCTGGACATACAGATTGAGTTGTCATCTATTTAAAAAGTGATAATTGAATCCGTGGGAGATTACCAGCAACATAAAGGGAGAACAAAAAAGGCCCGAAACAGAGCCTTGTGGAAGACCTATATAGTGGCTGGTATTGGATGATGATCCAGCAAAGTAAACTGAGTTAGGAAAATAATCAAGACAGAGTAGTGTCTCAGAAGCCAAAGGAGGAGAGAGTACCCAGGAAGACTATGGTGTGACAGTATCAAAAGCTATAAAGAAATCAAGTAGAATGAGGACTGAGAAAAAGCCATTCTATTTAGCAGTTGAGATCCTTGGTGACCTCGGAGAGAACAGTTTAAATTGAGAGGTATGGCTACAAGCCAGATTGCAAGTGATTGAGAAGTGAGTTAAAGCTGAAGAGTGAGTACAGAAAACACTTTCTAAGAGTTAAAAGGGAAAAGGGAAAAGAGTTACAGGATAATAGTTTAAGAGTATAAAAGGGTTAAGATTTTTTAAGAATGGGGGGGACTTTGGAAAGGAGCAAATAGATAAGGAGAGATTGAAGATGAAGGAGAGAGATTGATTGAGGGGGGAATAACTCCTTTAGGAGAAAGGAGATCATCCAATTCAATAAGTATTTACTACGTGCAAGACACTGGCTAGATGATGGAAACACATAAATAAACTGAACAAACAAACAAAAAAAAAACCGACCCAGACCCTAAACTATAAGCTTATTTTCTGGTATCAAGAGCACAGGTAGAGAAGTTGGCCTTGGTAAGAAAGACCATTTCTTATTCAGAGACAAGAGGAAAGACAGAGAATTGGAGATGATGTAGAAGGGTTCTGAGGTATGGAGCTAGGGGAAAGAGGGGACTTGTGATAGATGGCCTCTGTTTTCACAGTAAAGTAAGAAGGAAGGTCCTCTGTGAACTGAAGATGGGCTAAGGGGGGTGTTTCACCTAGAGAAAAGGACACCTGGAGGTGGGACTCTAGAGCAGTATTCAAAGACTTTAAAAAACTGTCATTCAAAAGAATTATTTGACTTGTCTTGCTTGGCCTTGGAGAGCAGAAGTAGGAGTAGTGGAGAAGTTGCAGAGAGTTGAATTTCAGCTGAATGTAATGAAAAACTTCCTAAAACTTAGAGTTGATCCAAAGTGGAATGGACTGCCTTGGGAATGAATGCTTCATCACCAAATATCTTCAAACAGAGGCTTAAACTATTTGCTTGTTGGATATTTTATGGTAGTTCAGGTTCTGTTCAGGTATGTGATGGACTAAATGAGTTTGAAGTTCCCTTCAGATTCTAAGACTCTACAATCTTTTATTGAAGTAAGATTTATGCTTTCTATGTAACAGTGTGTATATATACATATATATGTATGTATATATGTGTGTGTCCATATATATGTACATATGTGTGTGTATGTGTGTGTGTATCTCCATCCTTGTTGCAAGGCCTTAATATTTTACTAGGGCCCCATTCTCACTTGTGCCTTAGTCATTCTCATTCAGTGCCTTAGAACTAAGTCAGGTACTAAGTTATGAACTTAGAAGAGAATTCTTCTGTCACTCATGGTTTCCTAGCCATCCTTAGTGCTCCTAAGAAATGGATAAAAGTCTATGAAAGTCTTGTTCATGGCATAAGGATCTTGGTTCTAGATGTATTATAGTCTCTTATGTTGTAGGTTTGTATAAGCCATATACAGTTTGGTTGTAGGTAGGATTATATAGAAAAGCTTTTATTTTCTGTCATCCTGAAGCTTCATTTCCAAACTTGAATAACTAGAGAATAACTAGAGAACAAGGAGATGACTGTAACAGGCCCTGACATACTGTAAAAGACATTGCAGGAACAAATCACATTAAGCAAACTTGATTTCTGACTTGATAGAATTATGAGATTGGTAGAAAAAGAGAGTGCAGTACATGCCATATATCTTGATTTTTGCAAAGTGCTTGATAGAGTGGTTTCATGCTATTTTAATTTAAAAAGAAATTTTAAATGACATAGATACAATGACTATCCTGCATCTTGAAAACTGGGTAGATAACGGTAAAGAAAGGGTAATAAATATTATTATGGGACCCTGTATAGTAGAACACAGTAAGAATCAGGGTAAGACCTCATGGTGCTAAATATAAATAAAAGAGAAGAGACGTACTATCCATAGACAATGAAAAACAAGATTCCCTGGATCCACAAACCATTTCAAACATATTAGAGGTGAATCAATTCTAGAATGGAGGCTAATGTAAAAATGATACGGGCAGGAAGAGCAATTGACAAAATGAATTAAAGTCCCAAATCCTCCCAAATGTAATATCAGATTCAAATCAAGTTAGGACTCCAGGAAAACATCAGATCTGTCGTCCCTCTATTGTTGTTCTTGTGATAGGGAGCCATGTTTTATTCTCCAGGATGAATATCAAGACAAGTGTCCGATAAGTCACTCTCTCCATGAGTCATCTTCACTTTGCCCTCTTCTTCAGAAGTATTAATCTTCCCCTACGTACCTATAATATCTCTAATTGAATCTCTATTGATCTATCTTGCCATATTGCTATAAACCTTGAGGCCTTTTTCATTTTTCCAGTAACTTTGTTTTTTCCTTGTCTATTCAACAATAATTTTTTTTTTGCCTCTCTACTGGAAACTTCTATTAGAAGAATCATGCTCTGTCATTATAACTATATAAAAAAAAATTCTTTACCTTTATTCATTGGGGAATTGGATAGTGGGAGGCAGAATCTAATGTTGGTCAGCTTAGGCAACTCACCAAAATCACTACTTTCTTGACATTTGGATTAAATTCTACTCAATGAATTTAATTTAACCGATATTTATCAAATGCCTCTTGTACTATGTACAAAAATACATAAAAATGAAACTGTCCCTTCCCTCAAGGAGGTAATGTTCCATTGGATAACCCCAGAGACTTATATCAGAACAAAAGCTGCCAAGCCTTTCATATGCAAAAAAAATGCTTCCTTGATAAAAGCCTTGAATATGCTAGTTCCTTACTTAAAGTCTTCTGTTGCACTCTAAAACCCTCTGCTGGGGAGTCAATGCTGCATATTTAACTTGGAAGTCATAGTGAGAGCTAAAATACGTAGGTAAGAGTCTTAAGGTTTTAAAGCTAGAAGGAACCTTAGAAATTAAGGTAAAATGTCTCCTGTCAGTATCCTACATGCAAAATTTCCTTTCTTTGCCTTTACTTTTCCTACCATTCCCACTTTTTTATTTAAATCAACCCAATCCTACAGATGATCCAGCTACACTGACTTACTTGAGTATTCCATCGACTGTCTCTGTGACTAGTTACCTTTATCACAGTTTAGCAATTGACCTAGCATGGCACATTGCCTGTAGCTAATAAGCAAAATAAAAAAATTCAATAAATAAATATTGTACTTCTAAAGAATGTGAAATAGGGTCTAGTGTCAGTTGCTATAGGCTCTTTGCCATATTCTTTAATGTTGTTGTCTCTTATAAAGCAGCAAGGGCAAGAATCCTTCATAAACTGTGATGCCTAGAGCAGAACACCATGCTTCAGATGGGTCTGAGCCAGGCAGAGCACAGAGGTACCCACACTTGCCTGTTCCTAGAAGCTATGCCTCTCTGCATATAGCCCATATTCATATTAGCTTTTTTTTTTTAAGCTTCCATGTCACACTGTTGATTGAACTTGTAGGTTACTAAAACTCCCAGGTCTTTTTCAGGCAAACTGATTTAAAATAATATAAAGTTGCTTTTTAGAGGCCAAGTGTAAAATATTATATTTATCCCTATTGAATTTCAAATTAATATATTTAGCCTAATGTTCTGGCCTGTCAGAACTTTTTTGGATCTTGTCTCTACCATCCATTGGGCTACCTACCCCTCTCAACTTTTGGGATTTATCTTTCAGGCCTACAAAATTTTGGTGACTATAGGTAAATTGCTTGGTATCCTCTCCTTCAAATCTTAAAATAGAAATTGGCTTTTCCCAATATATACACCCCTTCTCTGTCATCTACTGTGTTAGCTACCCCTCCCAGTTTGGGGGATTCATCTTACTTTTAGGCCTACAAAAGTCTACTGACTAAAGTTAAATCTGTTGGTTTCCCTCCCTCATACCTTAAAATAGAAGTTACCTTTTCTCATCTTGTATACCCCTTGTCGAACCAACTAGAAAAAGTAATCATTAAAAAGAGAAAATCAGAAGGCAAATGAGTATAGAATGTAAGCCTCCAAAATGTCCTAGAGTTGTCATGTTAAGCAATACATAGTGTGCCTGGAAAATGAGTCCTATCACCTGCTAATATATAAGCACTTGGAGATCAAGGATCATGTCCCATGTGTGATTTTTACAATGTCTAGAATGATATCTATTGCCTGGAAATGCTAAACAGCAACCAATTCCCCAAGACCATGTAAAATAAGGCCATTTAAAAATAAAACCTTTGGAAAATGAGACTTATCTTAAAAAGCCACTGATATTACATCTATCTCCATCTTCATTCTCACAGCAATTGAGACAGTCACGTGCAGTACTGGTCCTTTGATTGCCAGTCATCCTAATCTTTTTAACCTTTATTACACATGCTTCTCGCTTTGATTTCTCCAGCACTTCCCATTTTCTCTTGAACTCCATCCCCTGCTATTGACCTCACACTAAAAATCTGCTGTCATTAAAGAAAAGATCAACAAAAGCATTAAACATCATGTTCCTGCTTCTTAAGCTCATTAGTTCTGTATTAAAGTAACATGCCATGCCCAGATTGCTTGTTTTAAAGAGCCCAATGTTACTCGTAGGCCTCTTGTCACAAAAAATTCCCAAGGGGCTCTGCGACATTATGAAGGGTTGTGGTTTGTAGTATTGGTTGCTTTGAGGAGAAGTAAGGCCCAAGATGATATATATAATGTCTTGAATGAGCCACAAAGTAAGGTTTGGAACTCTTTCTTTGCTCCATAGGTAGAACACTGGCATTGGGACACCTACCCTTCAGTTTGATAATCTTTTATCTCCTTGTTGTGATGATCAAAAGAGCTATTTTAAAGTGTATGTATATATATATGTATGTTCATTCAGGAGAGGTGTTGCCAAAAACTCACATTTTAGGCAGATTCAATAACAGAATCACACCTAGTGCTCACATGATCATCAAAACTGTGGAGACAAAATTGAGTTTGATTGAATCATAAGCAACAATTCTAGCTTTTGGGGCAGTAATTCTTAATCTGAAGACTGAGAACTTGTTTTTGATGTTGCTAACTATATTTCAATGTAATAGGATTCATTGGTATTCCTCTGCATTTTATTGTATTCATTTAAAAACATTATTCTGAGAAAGTTTCACCAGACTATCAAAGACTATGACATAAAAGAAAGTTTGGGAACTCCTGCTCTACAGAATGGCAAGTATCAGAAAATAAATCCTGGGGCAGGCAGCATCAAGGGCACCCCAAATTCCACTTTTTAAGACATATTTAGCCATTGATGTTTATGTGAGAGAGAACTTGATTCTTGGAACACAAGTCACCTGCAAAGGAGACGCTGGGGTGACCATTTCACCAGGACTGGAAAACATGGCTTCTTATTTTAACCAATTAATTCCGTTAACCAGATGTTAAGTTCAATTATTTTTGTCTGCTGAGAAAATGCAATTGCTGTCAGTGGTTTTAAGTTTTGACAGCCTAGGCCAAAATCCTGATTGTCCCACTCTCATAAAGGTCTTTGGTCCCACAAGCCTCCTTCTTCTTTTCTCCCTTTCTGCATCCACAATATCCTCTGTTATTGTTGTTGTTATTGTTGTTGGTTGTCCTTTGTTCTGGAAGAGGACCATGACATCAGGGAGGTGATGCCATGACATGCAAAGCAATCAGTGTTTTTCCACCTATGCTATAGAAAAAAGAAAATGGCACTGGATTTGGTCAGAAAAACCCAAGGTCTGGGTATCCTTGGGCTAATCACACTGTTAGGATGATGATATTTACGCTTTCTTCCTCACAGGACTATGGTGAAAACCTTGCTTTCTAACCTGTAAAGGGATACCAAAGTACGAGTAATTAATGAAATCTTTGAGGAAAGAACCTGATATCAGTCTTTTACTCCCTTTTATGGATTAAGTTGCTACAAGTTAACTCTCCTGGGAGCATTTGCATTTTAAGCTCTAATTTTAATGGTGGAAATGAAAAACTTTGTTCTGGGTTAACGGAATTTCATAGAATCACAGGATCACTGAGTTGGTAGTGACCTCTGAGACCATCTATCTAGGCTTCCCCATACCTGGAACAAGGAGAAACTCCTTTATACCATATCTATGAATGGTCATACAGCCTTTGCTCAAAGACCTCCAGTGAGGGCAGTCCCCCGCTTTCCAAGGCCACCTACCCTACTTTTGGAAAGCACTCATTGTTATGAGTGCTAATGATCAGCTTTAAATACTTTTGAGATGGTATAGAGGAGTGAATAGTGAGCCAGCCTTGAAGCCAGGAAGCCTTAGGTTCAAATCCCACCTCAGACATATACTAATGGTCACCCTAGGCAAGAAACCTCTAGGTGCTCTAAACCAGAGGTGTCAAATTCAAGCGGTCTGCAAAATCCCTGCAATTAGCCTGAACCAGATTTAGATGCAATTGGGAAATGTTTAACAAAATAAATAAAAACATAATACAACATAGATAATGTTAATTTGTGATTTTCTAAGTCAGTCTGAGGCCCAGCAGGGATCTGTTTCCGTTTGAGCTTGACACCATTGCTCTGAGCAATTCTCTCAGACTATAAATTGGAGAGATGTCAACCTACTTTGGTAGAGGGAGTTTCCTGTTCTGTGAGTCACCTGTAGTAAAGAACTCTCAGAGCCAGTTCCTATCTCTAACTATTAAGAATTTATTCCTTAAATTGAAGATAGCTATCACACACCATCGTCTTTCTGTCGTCCCCTTCCCTAGCCCTTTCAGGTTTTCCACTCTCCAAGCTAAACTGCTCTACCTCTTCAAAGTGATACTAACATCATTGGATATGAAGGCTCTTTGCTCTCCTGGTCCTCTTCTCTGAATTGTCCCTAGTTTATCAAGGTTTTTCCTAAAATATTGTACATAGACCCAAATTCCAACCATCTGTCAGCTGGTGGCAGCTGTATTTCTTTAGAGAGGAGTGAGGGAATTGTCTTCGACCTCTAAAAATCACACCACTTAGCTCCACCTTCCTATAGTCAGATAACATTTGGTGGGAGCAAAGAGAATCCCTTTCTGGGAGCTCCAGCACCTTCCAAATTTCACTGAAACTCTGGAGGTTTTCTCTCTTCACTGCATCAAGCATTCATCATCAGATTCTCTCTTTTCCTCTCTTTAGCCTTCTAAATAATGAATTAGAAGGCCTTATACCTTAAAATGATGACTTGCTAACCCAGGAGTTAGTATTATCAACACACTTAGAAAATAACAACTCACATTTCTATAACACTTAGCAAAGCACTTTCATCACAACAGTCTTAGAAAGCTGATGGCACAGTGGATAGACTGCTAGGCCTATGGTCACGAAGACCTGAATTCAAATCCTGACTCAGATATTTACTAGCTATGTGGTCTTGGGCAAGTCATTTAACTTATCTCAGTCTTAGTTTACTTATCAAAAGTGAATGGACTCGAAGGTTCTATCTAGCTCACTGATCATATGAAGATACAGAGCTTGGGAGAGTTTAAATGACTTAACCAGAATCACAGAACTAAGTGTTGGAGACAGGATTTGACCCCATATTCTGTATACACACACACACACACACACATTTATATTATATTTATAGTCAGTTTGTTTGCTTGTTTGTACATAGTCATTTTCATGTACTTTGTGTGTGTATGTATATATGTGTATACATGTATATATATATATATATGTATATGTATACATATACATATATATATAATGTATTCCTGTATATAGCTTGTTGGCTTGCTTGTATGAA